ATATTCCTAGAAGACCTAGAGCCTCTGCTGTGGAGAGAAAACCAAGTCAACCCCAGGCTCGCGAGGGTAGGGGGAGAAAGTCGAGCGCTCGGCCACCTCGGTTGGAGGATGAGCCGGGATCGCCTAAGATGAAGAAAGGGACAGAGGGTAAGAGGAGACAATCTATGAAAGGCAAGAAGTTAGTCAGTAAAGCAAGAAAATTTGGATCACATAAGGGCGGGAAAATGCAAGGAAAATACGCTGCTAAACGGAGAAGAGACTTGGGAAACAGGAAAAAAACTAGAAAATCCCCATCTCGTAAGCCTTCTCTCGACGATAATGTGAACAGAAACCCCGGATCACATAATAAAGGGACAGAGGGTAAAAGGAGACAATCTATGATAGGCAAGATGTTAGTCAGTAAAGCAAGAGAATATGGATCACATAAGGCGGGGAAATGCTAGGAAAGTACGCTCCTAAACAGACAAGAGACTTGGGAAACAATAAAAAAACTAGAAAATCCCCATCTCGTAAGCCTTCGCTCGACGATAATGTGAACAGAAACCCCGGATCACATAATAAAGGGACAAAGGGTAAAAGGAAACAATCTAAGATAGGCAATAGGTTAGCCAGTTTAACCAGAAAATATGGATCGCAAAACGTCGTGAAAATGCTAAAATTGCCCGCCGCTGAACTAAGAAAGTTCGAAAGAAATAAAAAGACTATAAAATCCCGATCTCGTGAGCCTTACACTTTGATCCCTTCGCTCGACGAAGGTGTGAACAGAAACCCCGGATCACATCAGAATAAAGGGACAGATGGTAAAAAGAAGCAATATATGATAGGCGAGAAGTTAGTCAGTAAAGCAAGAAAACTTGAATCACATAAGGGCGGGAAAATGCTAGGAAAGTACGCCGCCAAACTAAGAAAAGACTTTGAAAACAATAAAAAAACTAGAAAATCCCCATCTCGTAAGCCTTCGCTCGACGATAATGTGAACAGAAACCCCGGATCACATAATAAAGGGACAGAGGGTAAAAGGAGACAATCTATGATAGGCAAGATGTTAGTCAGTAAAGCAAGAGAATATGGATCACATAAGGGCGGGGAAATGCTAGGAAAGTACGCTCCTAAACAGACAAGAGACTTTGG